AAATGTAATCTGTGTAATCTGGATTATATTGAAAATGAATTGCACTGTTTTATTGAATGTTCAGTATACACTTCTTTCAGAACCCAACTGTTTAATGATCTTGCTAAATTTAATCCATCCTTCTCTGACCTAAGTAATATTGAAAAATTTACATGCTTGATGAGTGATGGCAATCACTGTTATATGGTTGCAAAATTCGCCAATCAGATTCTTTCATTACGGCAGTCTATTTTGTTTAATCACTAATGTTGAGATTTGTGTGTTTTTTTTTTGTTTTTTTTTTATTATATGTTCTATTTGTAGTCTTTTTTCTTTCTTTCATGTTGCGTGGTAGTACACAAAAACAAAAAAAAAAAGGAAAAAAAGTGAAAAAGGAAAAGAAAAAAAACAAGTTATGAGCCCTTGAAGCTTTTTTCATGTATTTTTTAAGATGTGTCACTCATAAGCCAGTATTGGCTGGTCTTATTGTATTATAAGAGTGTGACGTTAATAAAGACAAAACTAAACTAAAACTATATGTAAATTAATTACTTACTTCCTGTCACTGCTTGGTATTTTAGTTTTTAGTTTTTTCAATTTACTTGATCTTGAGAATGGTTCCATGATGGACCCGAAACGCGATTTTTTTTTCCGTACGAAACATTTACATGAAACTCCACTCGGGCCGTCTCGGCTGAATCGACCCGAAATCTCATTGCAGAATTCAGGAGGTCAAAAGGTCATCAACAGATAAACGTCTACAGAACAACTTCTGAGAGAACGTCGCTGTCTAATTTTTAAAAATACATTGATGTTACCATGTTTATACCAATGGGTCGTTTAAAATAACATATAAATATTTGATTAAGCTGCACCAGTAATGAAAAGTGTTATTTTAACTTGAGTTACATACTATGACAATTTTAATTTTTTAGTTAGGCCTGGGTTTTGCATAATTACCTAGGCCTACAATTAGGCCTACTAAAAACGCTTTCTGGGAAAAGCACAAACTTGAGTAAGGAAAAGCGCGTTTTTCTTAAACACTGATCAAATGAAACAGAATGACACTTATTTTCAAATTAAATTAAAAATAAATTAAATACTGGATGCCATAAGACCTGTCCAAATGGCAAAACACCAAATGAATGTAAAAATGAGATAGTTATTAATATTAGGCATAGTAATCGGCAGGTTCTTGATTACAAGGCTACACCAAGTTAATTACATGTAATGCCGAAATGATAATAATAATAATAATAATAATAATAATAATAAGTATTATTATTATTATTACCTGTACGTTAAGGGGAATTTAGACAAAGGGGAAATAACACAAAAGATATTCCCCTTGGGCTAGTTCTTATTTATAGGCCTAGTAAATAGTATCTGTATGTTCTTCATTTCAAGCCTTAGGCCAAGGTAATTAATGCTGAAATGATGATTATTATTAT